GAAAGAGCTTGGCCCTGAGTCTCTGTGTGGAGGGGAGGGACCCCCAAACCCACAACCTACTTTGTATGAGTAGGAACTACACCTCTTTTGTGACAGGCCAGAGACTTGGGGGTCGTTTATTACAGCAACAGAGCCTGACTCCTCCTGACTCAGGGACCCTTTCTGACTCTCCTGCCCACCCCTTGTCCTCTCCCCACCCCTTGTCCCCACGCAACTCGTGGAGCCGTCACTGTCTGCTCTGGTCAGGGCTGCTGCTAAACCAGAGGCTGCCTTTGTGAGCTTAGGGAAAGGTACCCCGCCCCCAAGGCCTCTGGGGAACCTCCTGACAAGCATACGAGCCGGGGGCAGGGTGTAATCGTGTGCCAGTAAGTGTGGAGGCAGCCCTACCTGATGTGAACTGGCCCCAGCCCACCTGCCTTAGCTCACTTCCTGTGTCAGTGGGGTCAGGACTGGATCTTCCACTGCTCAGTGTCCCTTCACCACCCCCACCGAGACCCAGGTGCCAGTGTGGGACTGAGGACGCTTTAACCTCACTGAATGGAGAGGAGGGAAGGCGAGGACAGAGCCAAGTCCACACCCCAGGCAGCAGAGCTGGATGAACTCAACTCTGCCTCTTAAGTTTCCTCCCCACCCTGGGCCTCGGTTTCCCTGTCTGGTCAAAGAAGGCCCAAGAGGTGGGACGAGCCCCTCCCAGCTCTGAAGCTGTAGGATGCTAGAGATCAAGTTTGTATCGGGCAGGGAGTTCTGTGCTGACACCTGGATTTGGATCCTGGCACCTCCCCTCACCAGGTCCATGATCACGGTGGCAAATGATCTGACCTCTAGTCAGTATCAGGCTGACCCCTGCCTAGCAGGGGTGCATGGCAGTGAAGGGAGATAAAAATACTGACAAATTAGCTAATTTACTGAAACCCTAGGTGCAAGGCACCGTGCTAAGCATTTAGTATGCGTGATCTCTTTTTATCTGTCCAGAAACTTCCCGAGGTAACAACTACAGTCAGTTCCGCTACATTTTTGAACACGTGAGTCTGTTCCAACCTGATGGATACACTGGGACACCAAGGGGGCCTCATGCAGATTCCTCGTTTGCTTATGGGTTTCGTGTGGGAGAGGCACAAGGAGAAAGCACGTAACACGTGTGAGCCTGTACGACCATCTCTCCCCTGGGTTCTTATCTTGCATGTGTTACTTCACGAGGGTTTTTTTGACTGTCGGATCCCCGGCCCCATTTTTCCCACAATCCCTGTTGATTTTATTGTGTGGCTTCACATGGGTGTTGAGTTTTACGAAAGCGCATGAAGCAGAACTTACCGCCGAGAAAACCAAGACCAAGAGGTTAATGCAACATGCCCACCCGCCTAGCATAACTCTTGCACGTTAGTAATAGTAATGTGAGCAATTGTAATAATAACTAACACTTATTAAATGCCTACGATGAGCCAGGCAGTGGGGTAAGTACTTTGGAAGACCCAATTCCTAGATTCTGACACCACTGGGGACACAGCAGGATTTAGGACCCCCGCCTTGAACAGTTGAGGAAACAGGCACAGAAGGTCACCCAGCTTATGATTACACAGGGGCAGGACAGGACAGGGCAGATGTCATAACCCTGTCTGTGGTCCGGGGGCCAAGGCTCTTGGGATCCAGGGAAGAGAATTTATAAGGCACTCCAGCCCACAGGAGTTGAAATAACCAAGAGGGAACAATGACGTTCGGCCAGTTCCTGCTGAGAGGGTTCTGAACACGCACAGCAGCTGTGGATAGCAATGGTCAGCTGCACAGAACGTCCAGTGTTTGGTATTCTGGGAGTCTGGTATTTGGACACCAGGCTTGCAGGGAAGAGCTCATTGCCAGATCTGATGATTTCAAAAGAGATCAGAAATCTGGCTTTTTATGCGTGATCTTCTGATTCTTAAAAAGTTAGCACACATTTTTAAAAACACAAATAAATAGACCTGTGGGCAGGAGAAGGCTCACGGGCTGTGTGGAGCCTCTGCCCATTCTCCGGAGAGGAGGGCGTGTGCCAACCAGCTGGAGCAGGAGCCTCCCCCTCCAACCCCAGGCCTGCACCCCGTGCCACCGCCCCCACACTCACTGTTTGATGCTGCTGATGGCATAAGCCTTCCCCAGGCACTGGTTGTGCCCAGCGCCCCACGGCATGCTGTAGTGTTTCAGTCGCTTCCCGTCCTTGTAAAAGTCTTTCTTCTCTGACCCATCTGAGTTCAGGAATCGGTTATACTTAAACACCTGAAATAGAAAGGAGGTCCATTTCTGGCTCCACCCCCCACAACACGCATGCCGGGAGAAAACTGTGCGAGGGTGTTCATCGAAGTCTTGTTTACAAGAGGGAAAACCGGAAAGCAACGTAAAGGCCAATCAACAGGGCAGTGGTTAAAAAATTACCACAGCTTAGGGCGCCTGCGTGGCTCAGTCGGTTGGGCGTCCGACTTCGGCTCAGGTCATGATCTTGCGGTCCGGGAGTTCGAGCCCCGCGTCG